AATTGGCCACCTTGAGGTGGCAGCACCACGAGAAAAAAAAACCACAGACTGAACGAGATCTGGCTGAGGCGGGGCGGTGCCTTGCCATAGATCGATCCGCATTGATCTAGACGCTCTGCGCTTCGGCCACCGGCCCAACATGCCCTCCCTGCCGGGAGACATCGCCCTGTCCGGCTTCGTGGCCTGTTCCGGCAGATGCGCATCCACAGCTTTTCTTCTGATACAGTCGTAGATATACTTGTTCACGGCGGTTCCTACGTAATTATTCACGGCGATTCCTACGTAATTATTGAAATATTGTACACCTCCTTCCGGTGCTTCTGCCGCTATAAACAGCTTCCCTTTCAACCCGGAGTTGCTCGCTGTTGTGAAGACTTGCCTTCCCTTATCGCACTGTATCAGCGTCTCATCAAAAGTTCTCCACAATCCCGATGATTCGCGCCACAAGTCATGGTTCTTCGACGTAATCGGTGGCCATGCAGTTACAATTTGTCCTCCCTCCTTAAGGTACTTTTTCGCCGCTACCATCATCTTTTGCGGCACATCATCGGCTGGATTACTATGCAGTGGCCACAGTTCGCCATTCTTTCATGACCTCGAGCAATCTAACGAAAATCGTCGCTACTTTCGCGGCCACTCTTTCTCGAGTGCCGTCTCTTTCCATGGGGCTTCCTCCCTCAAACGTAGCGTATCCAACGGGTCCTGACTTATTGGGCAGTTCCTTTACGGCCTGACCGTCAATCTCTCGACGCGAAGTGCTTGCAATGCTTCATTGTAGGATCTCTCGATAGAATGCCCTTCGATCTTTGCGTGCTTCGTAATGGCATCCGTATTGCACAGGAAGTCTGTCCAGTCGATGCAAGTATCATATGCGAGTTTCAAAACGGCTTTGAAGGCTTCCGCATCAAAACATATGTGTCCTTCTCGACGAAACTTGATTTTCGTTCCCATGTCGATATCCTTTCGGGTGGAAATACTGCATGCAAGCCAAACGGACCATAAGTTTTCTATGCGTTCCTTTGCTACTGCGCCCGGGAAGTTGATTTTCTCGATGTCTCCAAGCTTGCGGTCCTTGAAACAGTCGTCTCCGCATTTGAAAAGCAGATGTCCTTTTTCGAGTGGGCTCAACAGCGACACGCCTCTGAAATCAATAACTTTGACTTTGCATACCTTACTAACTAAAACTTTTCTTTTTCTGCCCCTTTTCCCCCCTCATTGTCTGGGTGTCAACTCTGTCATCAGGTATGTAACTTGGGACTATTTTTAGCTTGTCGAATTGTATTCTTATAGGATCAATATTCTCCCCTATGCGCGTAATTAGGGCTGAATTATTGCTAGTGTCCAAAACCCTAAATGGTCCAGCCCAATCCGAAATGAGTTTTGGGTGAGTACTTTTGCCTTTTTTACCTGGTGCCAGAACA